TTCCAGCCGTAATATTGCCCAAAACCCCAAAACCCCTAGTATCTATATAATTCTTTTGCATGAAAATATTAATAATCACTTGTATTTAAACTTAAGTAGCTTGAATTTTATAGGCAAATGGCATTATATTGTGAATTCAAAATATAGAGCAATCTAATCCACATTCTCTGTTCTTAACATAGGGATCAGATTTAATGTACCTGCGTTTTTCTATGCTATCATATTTTTCAAGAGCATTTTAAATAATCCAATCTCTCAGTGTTTTTATGCCTTCATCTTTTAGTCCACTAATTTCGAAGTATTTTAATCTCTAAAACGAAGATGATAGCTCATCCTGCAGATCTACTACCCAATCTTCTACTGCTTTAGTAGGTATGCCTCTCTTGCCAAGATCCTTTTTTGTACCAATGATTGCAATATTTGATATTTTGGAGGATTTAAAGCAATCTTTCCTGAAGTGATTAAACCAATCTTCAAGCATGTTAAATGATAAGTGATTTGTTAAATCAAAGACAAACACAGCTACATGATATGTGCCTGATTTTAAATAGTCATTTGCTAATTCCTCATTAGTGTTTAACTAGAACTCTTCTATAAATGGCAGCTCCACATCTTATCCGCTCTGTGAATCATCTTACTTCTTACTGAATAAAGACTTGAGAAGACCTTGTTTCTACTCTGCTTACTGCTTATTTTTTCTAGCCAGAGCTCTTTCCTTTGGAAGCTGAGTAATTGTAGGATCCCAGATACTAAGTCTAACAGTCTCCCCATTTTTATATATATGCTCTTTTTTATGCACCTCCATGCCTACACCATATATGTAAGGCTTTGAAATGATCTCTGCCTTCTTTGTGCTTTTATCATCATCGGCAATTTCTTTTATAGTGGCCAGCTACTTGGTCTAATATTCTTTCTTTTCCTTCAAGTCATTATTATCATCTTATTCCATTAATTTATTAATGAGAGTAGTTTTGCCGACCTTAGGTGCTCCGATAAATAGTATCTCGAGGTTCTTCATGGGAATAATCTTAATCACAGTCCTTACTGACTCCTCATTTCCATCAGTCACCTCTTCGATGCTATTCAGATGCCTTGTTTTTCTAGTATGCTTCTTTTTCTTAGATTTATGAACCTATTGATTCTGAGTAGACTTATTTTTATCAAGAGAAATATCTCTCTAAGCCTAGATTATAAGGTCAGGATTAGCTTTCATTGGTATCTGATACTTTTACTTATCTGGTTATTATGATGTGACAGATGATTGCTATTGGTGTTAGGTACGGCTATTTTACTGTTGAGAGGATTTTTATTCAAGTGGGTGAGATTTTGAACTTTTATTCATTTTAAAGTATTTTTATAAGTTTGTGTTAAATAATATAAATGCTATAATTAGATAAAGTAGTTAAATTAGAATTAATTTAATTCAATTAAATGATTAAATTGATTGGTTTCTATGTACGTGAGGTTTATGCATTCATAAATAACGCTCTATAAGCTACCTATTAATTCATTAGTTTCCAGCTGCCTTAGATTTACTATCAATCTCATCGCACTGCTTTCTGACTACTTCTTCTCTTTCCTTAAGAGCCTAAGCACTAGAGATATTATCATTGAATTACTGCATCTCATCTGGGTTCATTGAGCTTAAAAGACGGTTGAAATAGCCAGAGTCAGCTTGGTTGATTCTGTTAAGAATATCTTGAATAAAGATCAACTCATCTACATCATCAAGTGCTGAATCATATATGGCTAAGTCTCCTCCAGTATAGTCATAATCTGAATCCTCTCCATCATCGCTGTCGTCTTCTTCATCGTCTCCTCCAACATTGCCATCTTGCTTTTTCTTGAGGTTCTGGATCTTCTTCAAGTCCTTTCTAAACTGCTTCTCTTCTTCATCGGAATCCTCATCCATTTCTTCCTCATCCTCATCTTCATTATCGTCCTCCTCATCTTCAAAGCCATCATCTAAAACTTGTTTCTTTAGTTCTTCCTTCACATACTCCTCGTTATCCTTGAGGATCTCAAGTCTCTTGTCTCTCATCTTAATGCTAATCATAGCTAGACTCTTAACCAAGTCTGGTAGTCTCTCAGCTACGATTCCTGGAAGATTTTGTGGGGGAGTGTTAGCTACTGACGCAAGTCCGAAAATTACTCTACGGAACTCGAAGTCAAACTTGAAGTTAGGGAAATAGTTGACAAGGGTTGAGAAGAATGGAATAGTCATCTGATTTTGTTCAAGGATGCTGAAGGTAAGTTGGGTGTTGTACCAGAGTGCCATGCACAGAGTTTGTAAGATCATTGACTTGACATTCTTTGGGTTCTTGTTTTGGAGCTCAGACATGCAAACCTGCAAGATGAAGGGCAGAGCGTCATCAACTCGGCCTTAGAGGTTGTCAATGATAGCAATGAAAATCTTCATGATGACTATGGCATCCTACTTATTATTGGAGTTTCTGTTTATCTGAATGCATCTCTCAACAAATTTAAAAGTCATTTAGATTGGAGAGGTATCCTTGCCTGGCAGTGTCGATAGGAACTGATTAGGATCCTTGGAGATAAAGTTCTAAATCGAAACTGAAACTTAAGCCAAGTATTCTTGACCGAAGCCACCCTCTGATTAGGGAGAATCATCACCTCCACAGACAACATACAATAATTAGGGGAAGAGGTTCCACATTTGAGGTGAAATTTGTTAACCGTAATAGAGAAGTAGAGCTATGCAATCAAGTCCATCTTCAATGGCATCGAGTCCATCTGGTGTAAGTGAATGCATCAAAATGGGATATATGATGGTCTCCAATTACTGTAGCAATTCTTTGTTACTTTGGCACGAGTCTAGGACTCTTCTGACTGCCTCTACACATCCAACAGCTGCTAATGCAGACTCTCCATCATCATCTTCTACATTCACTGTGATAAGTCTTTGATAAGAGGTGACTAGCTAATCAGTAAGTTGAAGAGCGTAAGGAGCGATATCATCTTTAAAGTGTCCTACAATCTCTTCTAGAGCTCTTACCAACTCCTCGCTATCGATCTCACTCATGAGTTTAAGATACTGTTCAAGGATGTTTTTAAGAGCTGGTTTCAGGAAGTTGAAGGTTTCTTAGTTATTTAGAAGCTTATGGATAGAGGTTGCAGCTTAAAGTCTGACTGGGAGCTCTTGGTCTTGCATATTTCTGTAGATAAGGTCTACAGCCTGGGTGATATGATTGGTGTCCCTAAACTTGAAGGTGCCGAACTCGCCATAGAACCAGCAAGCTCTCATTCTCATAAATGGCTAGGTATTGTGTAGCTCTGGAAGAATGTGCTGCATCATCATTGGCTCCATCATGTCTCTAAGATCCTTATGAGCTCTGATGTCATCAATGAGTGATCCAATACAGTACATAATGGCTTCTTTGATTCTCCAGTCTGGGTTCTGCTATTATTAATATTGATTGAGGTTTGAGACACAGAACTCAAGGAACTTGTGTAGATAATCGGGTCTTTTGATCTTCTTGACTGACTTATACTTGCATAGATATAACAGCAGGTCACTGACAGTGGTCTTTGGAGAGAATAGTGACTCTGAGAAGTCGTTTTGCTTTCTGATAAACTCAATTGGATCCTCCTTAAAGAGTACAACATCCTTGTGAGTCACCAACATGATGGGAACTATGGTCTCAAATAAAAGGTTATCTACAAAGGACTTAAGGATTTTCATGGTGGCTGGGAGTTTTGTAGCTTAAGACACATACTTAATGGCATAGTTGAGGGATTTGTTGCCAATGAAATTAGATTTACGCTTGAATACTATTTGCAAGTGAGACTCTAAGAGTGGTGCTGCAAAAGTGTCTCTAACATACTTCGAAAATTCAATCTAATGGTCCTCGACATGTCTGGGATTTCCAAACTTTTAAAATACTCTATAAGTCATCTTTCCAGCAATTCCTTTGATTTTCCAGAGTATGTGTTTATCTCTCATCTCAATTTCATTCATCTCCTCAACAAAGGCTTCTAACTCCTAAGGTAGTGGCTTATCTAGCAGAGTCTTGAAGAACTGAATCCATGGGTCAATTGCATTGTTTTCAGTCAGGAACGGGCACATAAACAGTTGATTTGAGATGTAGAAAATCTTTGCCACAAGGTACAGGACCTAGTAAGCAGCTTAGTCCTCCACCATTATCAACTAGTTTATCAGACCACCAAGGATCTCAAAGGTCGAGCCGAGGATGTTGTAAAGAGGAGTTCGCTCATCTTCCAACTCGAACTCGTACTTCTTTACCAAGCTTTGCAATGCTAGTAGTCCTGTCATCACACATTTAGGATCATTTTGCTGCATTAGATAGAAAGTAATTTCTGGCTAGAGGTTGGGCCACATGTTGGGGTAATCTAGTCTGGCAATGGTAGTAATACATCTCTCATATTACTTAATGATCTTCTAATTGCTAGCTTTCTGCATGCACTATAGTATATTGTCTCTAGCCATCTACTTATCGGCCTAGTCCAATATAATGAAGTCAAAACCCTCAATAGTGATCTTCTTAGCCTATGCTACATCGTAGAACTTCCAGTGATGCTCTACCAATGTGCCAAGTTGTACTGCTGCTGCCAAATTGACATCTACTTGTTAACCCTGGTTGAACTAAAAGTTTAATCAGTTATCAGCAAAGTTGCTTACTTGTGGTTCTGCACTGATTTACAACAAAGCTGAAGCATACCCTGGTTGTTTTGAAGCCTATTTTAATAGTATTAGAGAGAATTATGATTAGATACCTCTTTAATGTATTGCTCTGCTTGCAATCTAATGTTCTTATCGGAAATTAAAGTGCTGCCAAGAGCTCCCGCTAAATTTTGCACAAGATTAGGATCGGTATTGTTAATGCTCATATTGAAGTGATTAAATAAGAGAATACTAATTGGAATATTCAAAACTAATTATTAAATAATAAATACCCTCAAAAAAGACAGTAATTAAACTAATGGGGTTTTGGGGTTTTGGGGTTTTGGGG